ATATATATATATATATATATATATATATATATATATATATATATATATATGTAACAAGCAGTATAAAGTGATAAATATCAAAATATAATAAGCAAAAAAGACTGCGTGTCAAGTCACATGTGCCATCACTTACGTGATTGGCTTGTTGGGCACCTATGACTAGTAGTAAGAATGAGGTTGATCTTCGCCTATTAAAGGAATATCGTTAGTGGATGCCAATGGCCTCGACGGAATAGGAATCGGTAGAGTGGATGTAGATCATGACGATCGAACCATTATAACTCGATTTGCATTTACTTCTTGCAATTTACATTTACTACAAACTGCCCTTCTTTACTTGCTTTATACCCACTACACTCTTCTGTATGATTTTAAGTTAACATCTTTCGAAATGGGTTTAATCGCAATGAGATTTTGAATCGACATAATTTTTACCGCTGTACTAATTCATCCCCCCCCTCTTAGTGCCGACTTGTTCCTAATAGTTGGTATCAGAGCCACGTCTTTCTTATTTAGTTTAACACCCAAGAGAAATGACTCTTTTTGGCTTTCAAGAGAGACACTCTCTCATTCGTCCTCCCATGTTCAATGGGACGGATTACACTTATTTGAAAACTCGAATGAGAGTTTTCTTGTTTTCTATGGATTTGAATTTGTGGAATATTATCGAAAATGGTTTTCAAAAGTCTTCTACTCCAATGAAAGAATGAAATGATTTAGAGAAGAAAACTTTTTCCTGTTAGAGCTATGAGCGCTCTATTTTGTGCTTTGGATAAAACTGAGTTTAATCGGATTTCTACATATGAAACGACTTTCGATATATGGCACACTATCGAAATCACACACGAAGGTACTAGTAGTGTAAAATATTCTAAGATAAATCTTTTAATACATGATTTTGAACTTTTTTAAATGAAGCCAAGTGAAATCATTGTTGACATGTACACCAATTTTACGGATGTCGTCAATGGTTTAAAAGCTTTTGGCAAATGCTTTTCTAATTTTGAACTCGTTAACAAGATCTTAAGATCTCTTTCTATAAATTGGGAATCGAAAGTAACGGCAATACAAGAACAAAGGAATTAAATAAATTTTCACTTGAAGAACTTATCGGGTCCTTGATGACCTATGAAATGACTCATGTGTTAGGATCGGAGCGACACTAAGAGAGGGGGGGGGGGTGTGAATTAGTGCAGCGGATTAAAACTTGTAAATTTTAAAATGATTTCATAAATACGTAGAGATTTCAATTCGTCAATGACTTGGAGAAAGTAGCTCGAGTAAAGTGAGAAGATTAAAAATGAAAGCTTGCTGCTATGTAAATAACGGTTTTAGAAAAGTAAATACTCACATATTCAAGGAACACACTAATTTAAAGTGGTTCAGTCAAAATGACCTACATCCACTTGCAAAGCCTTCTTTAATGAGGCTCCGAACTTCCATTAGCAAATCACTCTGAAGGGGAAGGATAAATACCCCTCTTACAACCTTTTACAAGTGGTTCACACTCTTACAGATTTTTCAAAGAGAAAGAAGGAGGTGAACACTTAAGCTATTGAAAACAAGACTGGCTAAAGACTTTGCTAAGGCCTTTTCTTAATCTCTAACTTCTCAAAAAGGTTGTTTTCTCCACTGAGAATTGTGGGGTATTTATAGGCCCTAAGAGGATTCAAATTTGGGCTCCAATTTTGA